ACCGGTGTAGATGCGAATGGTTGAGAACTGCACAACGGTAGAACGATGCAAAGAAGATCGTGTATACGGGGTCGATGATTGTAAAATCCAGCTCGTTGAACGGGGCCCTCCTGACTCTTATGCAACATTCAGACGTCTCTGAAGAAAAAGTCATCGGCTCATAGTGAGCCGTCACAGCTTGTGGCTCAAAGTCCGCGGTACGGCCAGTGGGAACACTGAGTTTCGGACCTCGGGGACTCGGGAGTAGCCTGTAGGAGATCTGGTATGCAAGGACGGATTGCTCATTGGAAAGGTTCTCAAATCCGGCTCCGTGTCTGGGCCACTCGGGTTTTTGAAGGCCTGTGGGTGCCAAAATAAATTCAACCAAGAATTGCAGCCATCACACACGTGACATTGCATTTCGCCTGCCGATTGCCTGCCGAGCTGAGCCCGCGCTTCTTACCTTCGCTCTTCTCACCCACCACCATGGTATCCACAGGCGTAGCGCTCGTCACCGGGGCCGGTGCGCTTGTCTTCATCCCCACCGCTGTGCGCTTGCTCCAGTACTTACTACTTGGTCATCAGCACAGGGAATCGGCAAAGCAATCGCTCTCCGCCTTGCGGACGACGGCTTCGACGTCGCAGTCAACGACATCGTCGCAAACGAGAAGAAACTCTCCAGCGTCGTCGAGGAAATTAAAGCAAAAGGCCGTCAGAGCTCGGCGCATTTGGCGGACGTGTCGGTCGAGGAGGACGTCAAGGGCATGGTGGCGGAGGTTGTGCGCGTTTATGGTGGATTGAATGTCGTACGTTTACCTTATGCATTCTCTCGTCCCACTTTCATCTAAGCTGTTGTTTGAGATGGTCGCGAATGCAGGGGTGTGCAAGTGCGCGTTAATGACGGAGAGTGGGTGCTCATCCAGCTCTGGTGCAGTCGACTATTGAAATTATTCCTTAGCATCTGTCGAGGACTACGACCGTGTCATGAACATCAACGCCCGCGGGACGTTCCTCTGCTACAAGCACGCGGGGGTGCAAATGATGGCTCAGGGTCGCGGTGGGCGCATCATCGGCGCGTGCTCGGCGTCGGGGAAGCGAGGTGCGTTCTGTTTTCTGTCTGTTCCTTGCCTTTCAATTCTATGCTAGCGGGATCCGCATTCACTTCCGCATACGTTGCGTCAAAGTTCGCAATTCGGGGGTTGACTCAATCCGCCGGTGGGTCGTCGAGTTTCCTATCTTTTCTGGCAATGTTCATCCTTTTCAGCACTCGAGTTCGGCCCACACAAGATCACCGTTAATGCCTACGCGCCTGGCCCTATCGACACGTGCGTCCTCGCCCACTCGTAAGCTAAATATCCTTTCGACCGCCCTCAACACAGGGACATGCGTCAGTCTTTCCACTCGTTCTCAACCATGCGACTGAACCGTACGTAGTGGATTATATTAAAACGAGCCATGGCGTACGTGAACCAACCAACCGTCCGTGCTTCCCCTGACGTCTACACAGTCAGCAGTCCCGGCGCACTGGCAAACGGCGGGGTGCATTTCGCCTTCGTTTCTTTGGTAGACGCAAATCTGACGTGAATCGGTAGGACCACAGGGGATATCGCCGCCCTCGTATCGTACATCGCGAGTAAGGAGTCTGGGTTTATTACCGGTGTGTTTCCTTCCCTCCAGACTCTCCTGCCTGGCCGAACAGGACTCAACGGGGTTGTGTTGCAGGACAAAGCGTGAGTTTCGTCTCCCTTCTTATTGATTGAACGTCGGCTGACGGATGCTGCTCAGCTTTCGATTAACGGCGGGATCTATTTTGATTGATTTCTGGAAAAATATGAACGAGTATTGTGGAGTGGGGTTCGGGTTCCTGATTCATATGTGTCTTGTACTTAGTCTCGTTCGATCCGTACGGTGTATGTGAATGATCATAAAGCTCAAGCTGTCTTAGTCTGTGTTACAGAACGCTCCGTATAAAGCTAGCGCTGTCTCCAGCAGAAGTTTAAGAAGCATCAGTGGTGTGTCGCATTTCTTTCGACGACATCGGGTTCGATTCCCTGTTGATGCATTATGCCTGAGGGGATAGGAACTTGTGCTAGCATTGTCATCACCGAATCAGCCACCACCAAAATGCCAAGGGGTACTAGGGAGAGAGAGAGAGAGTATAAATTAAGGCTGAGCGGTCCCATTGAGGAACAACAGCGGCACTACAAGATGCGAAAGCGCTTTTGCGGCAGATCGCATGAGCATAGAAAGCAGGCGGGTCTTGAGCCGGCAGTTGTTGTTGACATGGTGGTTCAACATTGGTTCAACATTGGGCAACGGGAAGAGGAAATATGTAAAAAGCCGAAACGGCCATCGGTCGGCAACGATGACATAAGTAACGAGGGGTCACGCGCGCGCTTACTTACTCTCCTTTGACTCTCCTTGCTCTTGAGCGCCATCTCAGATCTGAGCCAAATCCGAGGCCTATCTTGCTACCATCTTTCCTGGTGTTTAGATAGCCCAGCCTAGCATTCTCGACACACTCTGCGGTACTCGTCACCCTTCTGCTTTCGCATTGCATCCGACTCCTCCGGCCTAAACCCCGCCGTCTCATCCCTACGGCTTGACCTGGCTTGACTGATAACTCCCATGTCCTCGTCTGGGGCATCACCGAGACACTGGAGATGCCGAGGCCCGATAGTCACTTCCCGGCCAACCTATTCTTTCTCTCTATCCCTCTTCCATACCCTACGCCAACCCTACGCCACAGTGGCTGCCAAACCTTTGCACTCTCATGTGTTTTCCACCAAGGTCCCGTGGTTCTGCGATCCGGATACTGTCCTCTCGGAACCCGGGAGCAGACGTGTGGAGCAGCCGATGTTCCCGGGAGTACATACATATGTACTCTCCCTCTGGCGTCGGCCCTCACTGTACAGTCATGTCGTCGATTTCTGGATCGATACCAGCCACAGTCGGCGCGCTGGAGGTCGGCATATTGTTCGCCATCTTCCTCTCCGGCGTATGCACGGTACAAGTCTACGTCTATTTCCACCAGTACCCAAAGGATCCTTGGGGCCTCAAGCTATTAGTGAGTGGTCGAAAAAACATTCATCTCCTTTAACTTGGATTCTTGCATTGTAGGTCGCCTTGATTTGGGTACTGGACCTGACGCATAGCATCCTACTTTGCCACCTCATCTACACCATCACCGTAACGCAGTACGGTCGCCAGGAGGACCTACTTATCCCGCCTAAATCTCTCAACGCCTCGCTCCTCATCAGCGGCTTAATGGGACCCTTGGAGCAAGGATGGTTCACATACCGTCTCTTCAAATTCACGAAAACGCTCCCCCTGCCAGTCCTTTGCTTCACTCTCTCCCTCCTCCGCCTCGCCGGTAGCATCGGACTGTTTTCTGTCAGCCTGGACGAGATGACGCTATATGCCTTTCAGGACCGCCTGTTGTGGCTCATCGCGGCAGTCATCATCGTCGGCGCCGCGGTAGATGTGATACTGGTCGTGGCTCTGTGCTACCACCTGAGATTCTGGAGCCGGGATGGATTCCAACGGTGCGTGCACACGCTCATGGTATCATCCCCGGGCTTCGGATGATGCTTAATTCAGAATGAGCCGGCTCGTCAACCAGCTTATGACATGGACAATTGAAACGGGCGCAATTACAACGTCGGTCAATTTTATTCAGTTGATTTCCTGACTGTTGAGCCACCACACAGGACTGGGGCTCTGGCCCTCCTCATTACGGTCAGACATTCTCTTCAGATACTCGATTACTGACCTGTCGCAGTTCCTCACGATGCACGACAATTGCAAGTATCTTTCATCCTACCCCAAGGCGCGTACTCACACGAGCACCCCATGTCAGTCATATATATCGGCTTCTTTGTCCTAATGGCCAAATGTAAGTACCTTCCCACACAAGGTTAACACCCTTGCCGCGGCCAGTATTCAATTTTTTGCTTCCGCACCAGTGTTCGCCAATTCCTTGCTATTCTCGTGAGTCGTATCACACAGTCTGTTCACGTGCGGTAGCCTGTTCATTTAGACTCAATGCCCGGGAGCGATTTGCGGAAATTTGCGCAGAGGTCCTGCCCACGCTCACGCACGTCTCCCATTCTTCCCATCGGGTGTGTATTCCCCAGTTTGTCTGAGTGCTTGGGCTGACAACGACCCGGTTTCGGGAACAGTTCACACCATTAGATCTCGATGTCATGGAATCTCACGCTGCGGCTCCGACGCTACCGAGCCCTGTATCGCCATCGTGGTCTTGGACTGAATTCTCCGCGGCACCGGTATTACTTCGACAGCCACACCCACGTGTTCCGATCCGCATCCGCACTGACGTGAAGCGCCAGTCGAGCGTGTCTTTTGCTAGCCCGAGTACAGGTGCGAGCCTTTGTTCTCGCTTCTACACGACCTCAACTATGCTAGCAGCTTCCGCATATTAAATATTATTGACACTGTATACTTACACACGAGCCGATCGGCAAGTAACTAGCTCGTCCAATTTGAAGGTGGCCTGCACTCTCTCGACTGCATTCACATCCGTCAGAAATTCCGTATGCGCATCGCGAACGGACTCCATCGTGAAGAGTTACAGTTGGCAGTCCAATCGAAGGCTTTGCAGAAGCTTGAACAGTCTCGAACACACCCAGGGTTCAACATTCAACTCCCGGCTGATCATGGTACAAGGGGAGTAAGATTTCTTTCTGACTTTGGTCTTACAATGGCGATGCGTTAAGGCAGTCCCTCCGTTGAGTATCGCTGGTAGCTGCATTGAAGACCAACTTGAAGTACTGGGACAGAGATTCGATTCCGGCCCAAGTAACAAGCTCGAGAGCTCAATGGCAGTCTCTCCCTTTTTCATACAGTGCGCCTGGGGCGATGAAATTGGTAAATTTCGCTTGTTTTACAGGAGAAGCTGGCTGCGAATTAAAATCGTGAGTTGAGAGGCCGTGCGTGGTAATTTTCCAGCGGCGAGATGCCCCTGACCGCGATCGGCACGCGCACCTCTGCTGGTTGTCCAAGCCCGCCTAGCTCAATCGGATAGAGCGTCAGACTCTTAGGCGGGTTGAATCCTCTTCACAGGGTATCTGAAGGCTGCGAGTTCGACCCTCGCGGTGGGCTAATCCCCCTTTTTGGCGCGCTTGCTAGCTGTTTCTACCTTTCTGCATCGTTCCCAGGTACCTACCTACATTACATCAGACTTACTTTCATTCTTTACATCACCAGGTGACCTCCTCCTACCATCTTCTCCACACCCGCAATCTGTCCCTAGTATCTGTCTACATCTGATTCTGAATCAATTCTGAATGGTCCACTACGACACCACCAGCTTTTCAGAGCACGAGTTGGCCATCCTCACAGTCCCAGAGATCTTTCTCCGGGACCTCGGCATGCGCAACAGAGCAATGGTTGACCAAGTCCTCTTGTCCGGTGGAGTACTGCTCCCCAACGTGCATCACACTCACGGAGATTGTCGAGGAGACCCTCCAAGAAGATTGCGCACGTTATACACTACATATCTGAACAACGGACCATTTTGATGGACTGGACACGGGTCATTTGAATTTTTCTGTTGATGGGGTTCTGGACCACGAAGGGACCAACATCTGGATTGGGCCTTCTTGGCGAAACGTGGGAGTTCTCAGTTAACACTGGAAGAAGACTGGCAGTGGGGTTGCGGATTATTTTCACGAGAGGGAGTGACATGGGGGCAGGTGGCATGTGGCATGCGTGCAGGGAGACATACGAAATACTCGATGAAGTTGCTCAAGGCAACGGTCAAGTATTCAATGGGCGCAGGTAGACAAAGTCACAAAGTTACAGGAATCGGCACGGAAACTCAAGAGACCTGGGGCACTGATGACTTGACGGGAGCGGCGAATGCCATGCCCGCCTAGCTCAATCGGATAGAGCGTCAGACTTTTACGCACAGGCGGGCATCTGAAGGCTGCGGGTTCGACCCCCGCGGTGGGCTATCTCCTTTTGTTTTTCTCCTTTTTTTTTCTTTCTCGCACCCACACTGTTCTACTTGCATCGTATCCTAGGACTAATCCTTCTTTCCTGCGTAATCTCCTTTCGATACTCCTAGACTTTGATTTCCCCACGCGTCCTGGGAAGAACAACCGCTCGCAGCCACAATCCATTTGCCCAGCGTTTTCTCACACATCCCCCGCCCGGGTCGAATCGCCCACGAAAGAGGTACATCGGAAATGGGCGAGGAACTCGGTCTGGAGACACCCGGCAGGCGCCGCTGCAGGCGGCGATGTTGAGCAAGTGATCCCCGCGGCAAGCTTGACATCTGATCCGTCCAATGACAGCGCGCGCCTACGACGTAGTCGTCTCACTCTCGTACCACCATGTCGCCGTCTGCAGAAGTCTCAGAGACTACCCCTCTTCTCGTGGACACCGAGGCCAGGACCGCCGATGAAGAGCCCCGAGCCGAGCCCGAGGACGTCGAAAAGCCCCTCCCCATGGGCCAAATTCTGCTGCTCTGCTATGCGCGTCTCATCGACCCCATAGCCTTCTTTTCCATCTTCCCGTTCATAAACAAAATGATCAACGAGCAAGCTGGTGTTCCCGAGACGGATGTAGGGTTCTATGCTGGCCTTATCGTGCGTGCTCCCCCTCCCGAATACCGTCAGGCAGTTCATGTCCAGCAGGAATCACTCTTTTCCATGACCCAGATGCTGGTCATGATTGGGTACGGACGCGTTGCCGACCGCATAGGTCGGAAACCTGTCCTTGTCTTTTCTCTGTGCGGCGTGTCCGTCGCCTCTGCCATGTTCGGCTTGAGCAAGACCGTGTGGCAAATGATCCTTTTCCGGTGTCTCGCTGGCGCCTTTGCTGGCTCTGTCGTGTATGCGCATACCATCCAATATCTTGCTCCCTGCTCATCTCCCCCAGGACGATTCGTGCCATGATCACAGAGAATAGTACGGCTCAGACCCAGGCGAAGGCGTTCAGCTTCTTCTCCTTTGCGGGCAATATGGGCATCTTTCTTGGCCCGGTCATTGGTGCGCATTAAGTTCCACGCCGTACGCCAGTCCCACATGCACTACACAGGCGGTTCACTATCCGAGCCGACTATCAACTACCCCTCCGTATTCGGGCACATCGGCCTGTTTGAGACCTACCCATACCTCCTCCCCACGCTCGTTACGGGCTGTTTCTCCGCTAGCGCTGCCGTCCTGTGCACATTCTTTGTGCGAGAGGTCTGTTCTTGTCCGCGCTCGTATGTAGTTGACTGACATAGCCGTTCCACAGACCCTAGAAACAAAAATCAAATCCTCCGGCCCCGCAACGCCGCCAATGACAACCTGGGAGGTCATAAGGGCCCCAGGAGTCGCTGTCGTTCTCTTTATCATCAGTCACGTCGCTCTCATCGCACTCGGATACACCGCCAGTCCGTTCCGTATTTCACCCACCTACTCTTGCACTCATCCTTTTCCCCTTTAGTCGTGCCTCTATTTTGGTTCACCTCTGGTGCCCTTCTCTCTCCCTTCTTCCTCCATCCGAACTCATGATTCTTTGCTACAGTGGATCTCGGCGGCCTGGGCTTCACACCCCTGCAAATATCCTTCTTCCTCGGCCTCGCCGGACTCTCACAAGCACTTTGGCTCTTCCCCTTCCCATACCTGCACCGGCGCTACGGCACGGGCGGTATCCTCCGCGGCTGCTCGTACATCTGGCCCGTCTTCATGGCCCTCAACCCCATCGGGAATTTGATGCTCAAGCAAGGATGGACAAAGACGTTTTGGACTCTGATGCCGACCGTGCAAGTTATTGGCGCGTCGGTTAGCTTGATTTTCAGTACGTCTCCGTCTCTCTCCACCCTGCTTCTCACTGCTTCGTGTTGAAACCGCCCCACAGCCGCGATGCAGCTCGCCCTAAACGACGTCGCCCCCTCGCCCAACACCCTCGGCACCATCAACGCCATCTTCCTCACCATGAACTCGGGGCTCCGCGCGGTCATCCCCGGGGTGTTTTCTAGTATATTTGCTGTGGGTGCACGGACGCAGGTACTAGGCGGAGAGATCATTTGGGTGCTTATCGTGAGTTTGGCGCTGGGATTTGGGGTTGCGGTGAGGTATTTGCCCGAGAAGGCTGAGGGGAAGGCGAAGGGGAGGGACGCCGGGACGAGGGAGGAGTGATGGGTGCTAGGTCTATCTTGGGTATTAGAATTGAATTATATAGAGAACATTTTGACGGATGAGCACACCCATTGGCACTCGGCGTGCGCCTGTGATGTATTGAATGACTAGAAGCATTACTGCAGGAGTTCCCGTTCGACTCGGGGGTGGGCCATGTTGCGGGTTGAAAATGGTTTTTGGCGGCCATTGGATGCCTTCCAAGACAACAGAGTGGCTCAATCTGGGGACCGGCAACGCGGGTGTGATCAACGGCAGCTTTGGCCTTGTTTGGTCTCCGATTGAAGGTATCAAATCCATGTTCCCGCTGGTTCTGGTTTCCACACGCACTTGGCAGCTTAGCTACAGTGAAGAAAAATGTTTATTAGATCCATATACATGTGGCCCTGCACGGGCTTCGAGATTTTAATGTTGTCTTGGCTCTGTACAGCATTGACCTTTCGGCACAATTTCAGCAACACCAGATATTGTATCTGCCACCATGTCCCTTGGTGTGCTTGGGGAGAAGAACACAAATTTTGTGTTCCCAGACTCTCAAACTGTGTCATTGGATGCTCTGTGGAGCCGTTTTGACTCTGAAATGGTTCATTTTCCGTGAGGTTGCACAAGCATCGTTCACGAGGTTTTTGTGTCCTAAAGCAGCACAAGCAGCCATTTTGGAGCTTGATTCTCTTGCCAGTGAGTTTTCTGAACTCATAAGATGTCGATAATCATGTTTCCACCGAGTCAACCTCAAGTGGAACTAGAAAACGAACAATCCACGCGAGTTGATCACGAAATCAAAGCAAAATGATGGGGCTTATAACTTTGTCAAATGGTCGAATATCGTCGGGGTTCACTGAGACAAAATCCTCTATATGCCTCCCTTCCCAGCGCTAGCTGGCCAGACTTTTCAAATCTGGTGCAAAATTCTGGGAATAGGGCTTGTCCGCTGAAAAACAATCATTATTCGTGTGGTACGGGGGCAGACAAAAAAAGCGGCCAGCTAGCACTATTTTTCAGCTTATTTGGTGACTACTTTTAGTTCGGTGCTAAGTGAATGAGCTTCGTTGTAAAAAGTTATAAGACGTGCAAAGTGGGAACCGAAAAATCGTCGGAACAAACAAGACCAAGCTGCCATCAGCGTCAGTGGTGATGCCGGTCCCCACGAGTCAATCTGGTTCTCGGCTCGGCGGTGACCGGTTCATGGGACCTGCACCGTTCGAATCGGGAGTGGGTCCTAGCTGCGTTGGTGTTATGTTGTTTTTCTCCTGGGAAAAGGGAGACTTCGGAGATTCGGTCGTATGTATGTGCCAATAGTCACTATCGACCACGTTTCCCTCTGCGGTTGTGCAACACACCATTCGCGCTGGCTTCACAATTACCTGGCCTGTCTTCTCTACAAGTTGTTTTTCTGCTATGAAAACTTGGACAACCGACGTATACGCCAAGGAAAAAAGACCACACCCTCGAGGAATCGCAAGTACCCAGTCGCCTCACATGCGAAAGCCCTCCACCTCCATAATGATCTCGAGATCCATCCCCTGTTGCACCAGAATTCCCAAAGCCGCAAAAATTTGCGATTTTTCTAGCTCAAACGTCTCCAGTTCTCCCGCCAATAAAGCACGGCCCCTCGCTGCAACCCGAACCACGCTGAAAGACCGGATGGAGGCTCTGTGTATGGAGCCCGTGCGGCGGACAGACAAGGCGTCCCGGAGTTGTTCGAAGTGGGTGGCGAGGTCTTGGAGGAATCTAACTTGAATAGTCAAGTTGACGAGGTTGGGGAGGAATGCTGGCTCCATGCGAAGCGCGTCGAACAATGGGAGTGCCGTCTCATGCTTCCCGAATGATATATCAAGATTTTGGAGTTGTGGGACGAGTCGACACACGGAAATTGGATCTGTCAATGCGGAGTATTGCTCCGACCCGGGGCCGTCCGATATCGTTCCCAGGTACAGCGTGTGGAGGGATGCGCGGCATCCGGACCTTTCGAAGAATGCATGAAGCTCGTGTAGATTGATGTCGAATGCCGAAAGGTAGAGGACTTCGAGGGCAGGCAGTGTGAGATGCCTCAGCACTTCAGCAGTGGATTTGTACGAAAACGAAAAGCGGCCGAGATATAGCCGTCGCAGGTGGGGGTGGATGCGTGGCTGGACCTCTGGGTCCGTCAGCCAGGCGGATCGCGGAGAGGCCCATCCGCGGAGAGTGCATTCCAAAAGGCGTGGGGCGTTATGAAGCAACTCGATACAGGCCGCCATGCCAGACTCTCGGCCGGGCCTCCCCGCAGCCCTGTTGTCGGCGAGTGTCATTTTCTCCACCGCCACAAAGGGTATCGTGGTCATGTTTTCGACTTCCCATGGATAGGCCCACCGTGGCAGGACGTCCAAGTCCTGCACCCACACTTCCAAATTGATCAATTGCGCTGCTCGTGCCCGCAACACGCCCTCCACCCCCGGGTGCCTACCCCCGGAAAGCAATATTTCCACGGGAAGGCGTTGTGCACGATCGAGCCAAATTTCGAGGAGACTCGGGAACTCTGCCCGGGATCGATTGGCAACCCGGATACTTGCCCACAGCGAGGGATTATCTAGAACGATGCGCGCCCACGAGCGACAGACCTGCATGAGCAGCATCGGCGCGACGGAACGGTGCGGTCGCAGGTATTGGGAAGTGGTTCATTGCTTGAAGATCGCCAATGAGAGCTCGACAGGCAGGCGACTCATCGGGTCCATGATGGCATTCAATTCGCTGTAGGCCATACATCTCCACTGTTCCAGTTCCTGGATCGCTTGTCTGTGCTGGTCGATGGTGTCGTTGATGCTCTGTATCCGTTTCCGGATGTCGTCGG